GGGGGGTTGTCCCCCCCCAAAAAAAAACCCCACTAAAAATGATACTTATATGATATTGGCAATATGGTGCAGTATGGTTGTAAAGACATTACGCGAAATTTGAACCCTTCTGGTCGAAAAATGTGGAAGCCTTGGTGTTTTTTTGTAGTAAAATCTTAAGAAATGAGCCATTTTACATAAGCCGTAAAAACAGTGTGAAAGAAAAGCAACTGTCAATAAATATTCATCTTGATTGCCCAGGGATGATGGCTCTATCAATTAAAATCTCTATCGATTACCCTCGATTACACTAAAGGCAGTAAAGTTATAATAGCTAATGTTGCACACAATGGCAAATTATATATTTTTAAAAGAGCCCAATTTTTATAGCACCTTTCCTTAATGGTATATGCCGTCCACGACCTTTTTAAAAATAACTTTTGATTCCAAGTGAATTGGTGAATGTTGAGATTGGTGTTCTTACAGGACAGTCCCGCTTTCAAATAGTCCATGAATAAATAAAATGATTAACATTGCCCTGTGGTTTAAATAATGCTCTCTTGTGACTGCTATTGTGACTGTCTTGATTGTTGATCACGATAAATTAATGTGCTTATCCTTACTTCAAGTCTGGCGAGTGGGGGGAATTAAATAGGCTACTGTAATTTTGCTAAAATTTCTCACTAATTAACAAAGACAGAAAGAAAGCACCGGATAGGAGCCAGTTTTGTTTTTCTGACCGCAGCAAATCACAGCAGAGCACAGCACATCACAGCACAACACAACATAACAAAACACAGCACAGCGCAACACAACACAACACAGCAAAGCACAGCAAAGTACAGCACAGCACTAAAACAAACACAATAAACAAAGAAAAGGAAACGAGAACGTGAATACCTTTGATAGTGGCTGTGGGCCTTTGTGGAGGCGGACACGGCACTTGATTTGCTGTGGATAAATAATATTTACACTGTACTTGAGATAATGCCTTTTGGTTCCCTGTGAGGAATTTGATTCATAATGAAGAGTAAAATGGGTAGGCTACATAAAATAATTAACGAAATCACTCCAAGAGTACCGTTCTCTTTCTTTCTTTCTTTCTTTCTTTTTCTTTCTTACGTTCTTTCTTTCTTTCTTTCTTTTTTCCTAACCGAGCAGTGTTGTTTGTGGAGTGTCTTTTTTGCCGTGATCAATATCCTTATTTCATCTTATTGGTATGGCTCCTGTTTGTCTTTGCAGCTCCCATGTGTTCAGCAGTGTGTTTGTGGTGAGAAGGGAAGTGGTGCTGAGAGCATGAGAGAAAGAGAAACATAGAGTGATACGAAGTGAGAGAGAGAGAGAGAGAGAGAGAGAGAGAGGGGGGGGGAGGAGAGAAGAAAGAAAGAGAGAGATAAGAAAGACAAAAAAGAGAGAGGGAGAAGAGAGAGAGAGAGAGCGAGAGAGAGAGAGAAGAGAGAGAGAGAGATAAAGAGAGAGAGAGTGAGAAACAGACAGACAGACAGACAGACAGACAGACAGACAGACAGACAGACAGACAGACAGATTCATGCGTTTACGTGATGACGTACATGGATAGTTTGTGTTGTAAAAGCTGCTGTTGATTTCTTCTTTCACAGACGCGCAACAAACTACAACAACAATAGCAACAACAACAATAGAAACAACGTCAATTTGAAAAAGATTGGGTTTTTTTTTTCTTTTGAAGCAGGATAACTTTGACTCTGGCCTTGGTGTATTTAGACAACTTACCTTTTGTAGACATGGGACGGTATCGTCCATACATTTACAAGTATAAGGCAGAGAAGATGTTTGATAACCGTATGCACGTCCATGCCCAGATCATGTATAATTCTTCGTGTTGATTTTATGGCCAGAAGGGAGAAGTCGCGAAAGGTACAGCTTCACTATGAACGTAATTCAAACGATATGGTATTACGTGATACAATTATTGCAGTATCAAAACCTGCAGTAAACAAAACGATCTTCGAATCTACAAGCTAGATCTAGATTCGCTTTTGTTAGCCGTACTGATGTATCCAGTTATATTTATCAAAATACGCATAAAAATCTCGAAAAAAAGCTAAAATTATACTACGATTCTCTAAAGGTTAGTGAGTGTAGGAATTGGTTCTTTTTGTCCCAACCCATAAACAGGCCGCTGTCTTCACTGACTGCAGGCTGTATAAGACAGTTAGAAGACTTGATTTGAACTGAGATTTTGTCATAAAAAGGGCCGTGAACAGTAATAACAAAGACCGTGAACCAGCCACGGTCTTTTGTAAAACATGTAGGCCTACAAGTGTATCCTCGCGTAGAACGGAAGCGATGTAGCAGAGTTTGTATCGGTGCGCACCACGCGTAGGCCAAATAAACATAAGTACAAAGAGGTTTCTATTTATAACCTCTTTGATCTAAGTACCAAACACAATATCAGGCCTACACAATGACGAAAATTCTGGCAGTGCGCAAAAGTTTCATCACGAGTGAGAATTGATCTCATCAGCCACAGCAGAAGCCACACGTTATTGTAACCTTTAATTCTTCAAATGTTTCTATTTCGCTGGAGACATTTTAATGCCCCCCCCCCCCCCCCCCTTGTGGATCTATTACTCATTGTCAGACATTGACAGAAGAGCTATTTACACTGTAATTATAGTATAGGCCTGTTGTTGAGAGGCGCTGAGTCCTGCCTGCATTTCATAGAAAGACAGAGAATAAGAATAACATGGTTTTTGCCACCTGATTCGTACGTCACCCAACCTCGAAAGCCTACAACACCAAGCACTTAGGCTATGAAAGAAGAAGAAGGCCACGTAAAATGTGGATTGGGGGTGTCAATGAAACCCTGAGAAAACATAACATCACAACTGAAAGAGCTACAGAGCCGACTTACCATAGAAAACCGCATCTCCCCTCGATTAACGATAACAGAGGATGAAAAAGCAAAAGTAAAGTAATTGAATGGCGTGCTTTTTACACTCTGACAAACGCCAACCTATTGACATGGCACTGGACTCCGTAGAAAACTCTCATAACAAATCTTTCCTTATCCTTTCTGACTCTCTGCCTTGCATCACCTCACTCACAAACTACACACTCCTACACCCAAAAATAGTTAGGCTACAACAGAAAATTCACACACTATCCGAGGCAGGAAAAAACATCATGTTCGCATGGATACCTAGCCATGTGGGCATCCGAGGAAACGAGCAGGTAGACGACCTGGCGAAGAAAACCTCATCCCTTCTGCTGGGATCAACGACAAACACTCTCCCACAGACTGACTTTAGAAATAAAGTTAAAAAGTACACCTCCAGTCTGTTGGAGAGCCACTGCGACAAACAGAAAAATAATAAACTGTATATTATAAAACCCAAACTGGAACAACGAAATCCTTCGGACCTCTCCAGAAGAGACAAAGTCATTTTTACTCAAGTATGCGTCGGACACAACGGCAGTGACCCACAAATACCTCCTACAGGGAGATGAGAAGCCGTTCTGTGTCGGATGCGACACAGATTTTGCCGTTAGACACATCTTATCCGAATGTCTATACTTTGGAGAGATCCGAAGGAAATATTGTAAATGCAAGAAATTGCAAGACATTTTTTCCGTCCTTGGTCCCAGCAGAATTTTGAATTTTACGAAGGCCTTTGGCCTTTATGGCAAATTATAAAGTGAACTTGTACTATTTAAAAGTTTTTATGTTAACTAGAAAAAAATTGTTTTAGATTGAAAAAAATATATATATAATTTATATATTTTCACTGATTTTTAAACATTTTAACATTTTAAGACTCAACTACTGACCCGAGCCAGCCGCACAGTAAACTGTTGTGAACAAAACTAACTAGTGTTCCGCGCTCATATGACCTTATGCAGTTGCGAGCGCCGTAAAACCCTATACCGGTACTAAACAACAACTTATTGGCCATGCTCAACACAAAGGACATTTGTATAGCTTATTAGAGAGTAAAGAGAACCACATGGACACAGCAATATGTGAGGCATGGTGGTGAAATCAGGCGCTCGTCAAAATACTGAAGTTGAAGAAAACGGCATATTTCTTCCCGTTTGGCAATTTTTATCCATTTGTTTTTGACTCAAAACATTTTATGTCAATTCAAAATATTTTAAAAACACATTGCTGTGTTGCTTTTGCTTAACAACGATGATTAAAGGCACTAAAAAAAATTAATTAACTGTTTCCAGTTTCCAAGGACTCCCAAGCTTTTGAAGTCGTAATATGACAGCGCTATACACACTCTTCAGTTTGAATGTGAACGTGTACCGTAACAGAGAAACGTCCCAAAATGTATTTCTCAGTCTACTAAATGGCTTGATATCCTGGAAGCAACTTCAGAATCAATCATGACACAAGTAGAAAGGACACTGCCAAAACAGATAGATCTAGGGCCTACATTGTAAAATTATCCACTACCTTGAGCTGGCTATCGTGCATTTTAATGACCGGTCATCAGCAACCAGGAGATCACAAACTAGAACATTTTCAACGTTTTTTTCCCTTTCAATTTTGAAGGGAATTGTGCGTCATGCACACTCACTCACATCCGTTCTGGATCGAACCATCACGCCTGGTGGAAGAGATTTGAAAGCCTCCTACAACACTGCTGGAAGCTTGGTGTTGAAACGAGTTGGAGCTTGTGCGCGGTCTTGCTTTACGCCGTTCGTGACTAGGAAATGCTCCGGTAGTTTTTTATGGCTCTTGACTCTTGCCTAAGTAACCTCCTCATTTTTGGGGGTAAAATTGGGGGTTTTTTTTGTAAAATTGGTTGGGGTTTTTTTGGTTTGTAAAATGAGTAAGAGGCAGGAAATTTCATTGTAGTGACAGACTGGCGAACGTTTGAAGATCACACTGGCAGGCAGACAAGAGGAAGAACAAACTATAGCCGAAACTGTGTAAGGTGTTTGACTTCCTAGAGATGTCTGGAAAAGCCAATTATCGTGAAAATCTTAATGAAATCACGAACACAAAGTGAATTTACGAAGAAACGAGTTAAACAACAGTGCGACTTAGACAGCGCGAGAATTTCAAACAAATGAAACTGTACCTTCATAAACGGAAGAAATAAATCACAAAATTAATCCAGGCTCAGCTTTGGATATTTTGGAATGTTGGTGTATATGAGCTGTGTATGTGGTTGTGTGTGTGTGTGTGTGTGTGTGTGTGTGTGTGTGTTTGTGTGTTTGTGTGTGTGTGTGAGTGTGTGTGTGTGTTCTTTGCTACTATACAATGTGGAGTTGCTTTGACTCTAGGCGCAAGAATGGTTGCCCTTTGGTCAAATGCAAGATAAGGTCGGTTCAGGTCAGGTTGCACCAGGTGGCACTGACCATTTCACACTATATACTACATCAAAGACATGAGACTGTTTAGTTGAGAGCCAGGGTGCCACCCAATTTTGTTTTCCTTGGATATGCTGGACCTTGACTTATTTGGTTGTTGACCACACTTTCCCCGATTTGGACCCAAGCATGACCTCGAAAACCAAAACTTTTTGGGGATCCAATTATAATTATAATTTTATTGAGTCAAAATGCTCCTTCATAAGGAAAATTTGGGTGCCATTAACTATATCAAGTGGGTAAAGGTGGGGCGACCATCCCCGACCCACCGCGTCCACAGGTGGCGGATAGTGGAACGGCCTATATTATGTAGGGTAGCTGCGAATAACCAATAAGCAGTCGCGGACCAACTGGCGACAGTTTTGGAGAGCGAGGTGGGACAGGGTGGTGGCAATCCTGTCTCTATAAAATACCTCATGTGCTCAGTAAAGAGACTGTCAGGCGAGAGGGAGGCGCCGAAACCTGCCACCTGCCCCCACTGCCTTGTGGGTTAGTCCTTTTGGACAAAGGCTAGCGGAGTAAACCGTACAAAAATCCAGCAGAAGGCAAGGGGAAACCACTGCTGTATTCCTTCCCTAGAACATCATGGATCTTACTTCAATAAATAAAGATAACGACGTAAAGGGGAGTTCTGAAAGAACTGCCTCGTCCGGTAGGGCCAGTCATGCACAGCAGGTGACACCAGATCGTCATCAAGATACTGCTCACAAAAGGAAAAATCAAACAAGAAACATAGCAACCTGGAGTGTGAGAACATTGCTAGAGAAAGAAAAACTGGACAACATCAAGAAAGAAATGAAGAGAATGAATGTTAATATCATGGGTTTATGTGAAGTACGATGGACAGGAGCTGGCAGAATATTGTCCGACAACTATAACATCATTTACTCAGGAGGCGACAAACATGAAAGAGGAGTAGCGGTCATCTTGGACATGTCAACATCGAAGACACTTAAGGGGTACACTTGACTATATCAGACAGAGTTGTGATGGTGAGACTGAAAGGATCACCATTCGATACAACCATCATCCAAGCGTATGCGCCAACCTCAGAAAGCACAGAAGAAGAAATAGAGAAATTTTATGATGAAATAAACCAAGCAAAGACACATTGTAAATCACAAGATATTGTCATAGTCATGGGTGATTTTAATGCAAAAGTGGGAGCAACAAGACATGAAGACATAGTGGGTCCATATGGACTGGGAACCAGAATTGAAAGAGGAGAAAAACTGATAGAATGGACCATCCTGAATGACATGATTATTGGAAACACTTGGTATGAACAACCACCAAGAAGATAATCGACCTGGAAGAGTCCTGGAGACAGTGCTCGCAACCAGATCGACTATATCATGATCAAGAAAAGATACAAAAACGGGATGCTAAATGTCAAAACGCGGCCTGGTGCAGACTGTTACAGTGACCATGTACCCGTAGTGGGAAAATTTAGAATCAGATTGAAAAAAAAACACACTTGAGCAAGAACAAGAATATGAAACTAAACATGGCATTACTACAGTCAAACAAAGAAATGCAAGATAAATTCAGAATAAATGTACAAAACAAATTCGGGCCCTTAGAAGAAATACAAGAC